TTTGTTTAAAATAAATTTATTTTTTTTTTTTATATATAAGATGTGATCATTGTCAAAATGATGTTGTTGGAATTCGTTTTGATTGTGTTCATTGTCCAGCATTAACATTTTGTGAAAAATGTGAACAACAAGCTACATTAGATCATTCAAGAGAAAATCAGTTTCTTCAACAACAACAACATGTTTTTAAACTTATTATGGTACCACAAGAAGAAGCTAATCAAGTGTGATTTTTTTTTGTTAGATTTTTATTATTTTTGTTCAATTTGAATCTTTTAAAAATAATTTCATTTTAATTCATTCATTTAAACTAATTTTAAATATTAAATAACTAAAACAAGATTTTATTTTAATAAACAATTTTTTTTTTCAATTATTTAAAATAGTTTAAAAATTAATCGAAATATTATATTTAACTACTACAGTAGTTAAAAACCTAAACATTTTTATATTAAATTGATTTATTTTTTCGATTATGATAGAGAATTTAGTTTTTATTTTATTTAAAGAAATTAAATAAATAATATATTCATTTTATTCTATATATCATTTATATAATAATTATCTTTTTAAATAATAATAATTATTATTAATCTATTTATAAATAAACTAACTATTTATACAATTTCAATATTAAATTATTTTAAAAAAATTCTTTTATTAATCATGAAAAAACAAAACAAAATAAAATAAATAATAAAGATCTTAACTAACTTTCTCTTTATCATAATATGAATCAAAACAAAAACCTAATTATATATTATTATATACGAATAAATGTCAAAATTTTGCTTAAAGTTGAATGATGTTTTCCGATGAGATATTATTCTCAGCTAAATTTTTAATTAAATTAACAAAAATGAAATAGATTAAAAAAATTTCATTTTTTCAATAGATCTTTCAACTTTTGTTTTTTACATCGATCTCAAGTGACTAACTATTCAAACAACAACACTATTATTTTCAGTATCAATCAATTAAATCTACCTTTTTAGTTTCAAATATAATGCACGACATATTTGAAATTTTTTCAACTGGATTTATCAAATCAGTATTTATCGCTATAATTATTCTAATTCTGAACATAATCAAATATTTATTCTTAGACATATGTTTTATCTTTGATTAGCATGTTTTAACAATGAAAAATTTAAAATGATAAAATGGTCTCACTCATAAATTTACATTTTTAAAATATTTATTCGTGATCAATAAATATAAATTACATAAGAATAAACAGTGAATCTAATTCGATTAGATTTCTATTTCTATTTAAAAAATGTGAACATAGATGAATAAATAAATAAGTAAATATAAGGAAATTTGATGAATAAATTGATTGATTATTTAATATTTGTTCATCAATAAAATGTTCGTTAAGTTTGTTTTAATCAAATTCGAATATATATTGTTTTTTTTTCGGAATAAAGGATAGAATCACATAAAGAATCTAATTTGGTCCATAGGAATTTTTCATACAGAATCCAACACAATCATATATAGAATACAAGAACTTTGGTTGGCGAGTATTTTGATACCAGATTTGAGCCACACTTCAGGTATATTTGAGGATTTCTTCAACAATATATATTGATCATATGGATATGCTAAATTATCTCTTGAACTCCATGAGACATGTATGTCAAATTAAACTACTTTGAATCTAAGTATAGAGAAAATCGGAAGTACTTCAAAATGTATTTGATAGCCCAAATTTAATGGCTATGTTTATATT